CTCTCTCTCTCCCTCCCTCCTTCCCTGTCGCCCTCTCGTACTCGCGAGAGCGAGCTCTCCTCCCCTTCGTCACCGACCGCGCTTCTCCCTCGGTTGCTCGCTCCACCGTTCCATCTTCCCTCGCGAGCTCGTACACAGGCACACCAACCTGTACATGAGGGTTCGCGCGGGCGCGCGCGAACGCGGGACACATGCACGCGCACGCACACAGACGCTCGGGTCCACGGATAACGTCCTCGATACGCCGCGCGGCACCGGCGGCACGACATCGAGGCGCTCCGAAAAGCGCTATCTCGCAGCACCTCGCTCGAAGCCTCGACTAATCAGCGCTTCGATCCGTGCTTTCGAGCGTCCTACTTTGATCATCGCCCGGTTCGCTCGTTCCCTGTGAGCGCGACGCTCGTGTAACGACGTTGTACCGTGTATAAATCCGGAGATTCGCGATCCCCGCGAGGCGCCCCCCCCCCCTCTCTATCTCTTTGTCTCTCCCTTTTTCTCTTTCCGTCACGGGCAAAAGGCGGGCGAATCGCGAGCGAACGCGCGACGCACGATGTCGGCAACGAGATACGTCGATGAGAGAGCGATATATTTAGACGACGGATCGCGACGGCGTGTACCATGTCTCTCGGACGTCCATCTTTTACGATTCGCCCCGACGAGAGCGCGCGCGCGCGCGCGCGTGTCTCGCGTTCCCGTTTGAATCCATCCGCTTTAAAGCACGATTTCGTCGCGCTTAACAACCTCGCGCCTTCGTTACTGCGCGCCATTTTGCCGCGCGCGGTTTCGCGTCGCCCGGGTCGAGTTAAAAATCACGAACACGGTGAAATGGGTCAGCGCGTTGACGAGGAAACGCGCGTCTTGAAAAAAGTAATTAATTACAATTTCGCAAAATCGCCAGCGTGACATCCCGATAAAAGACAGGTCGTTTAACGGTCGAAAGCGAAATTCCGGCAACGGACGTGGAACGACGATTAACTGAGCGTGAAGGGGGAAGAAGGATAGGCGCAAAAGAAGAAAAACAGAAAATCTCAAAATACTGGCGCGCTCGTAATTTTCACCCAAGTGGCTGTTAAATCCCCGCGTGGTCTATTTATCATCTCGCCGCGCGCGCTCGGGATATATTTCGTAATACATCCGTGCGTATGCGCGAGCGTGCATCCAGCTTTAGTCCGAGAGTTGTAAATTATCGCTAGCGCGGCGCGGCGCGAACGAATTAATACGCGGGTCTCGCGTAAGTTCATGGTTGAGAAACACTGCGCCAGCTGCCGCGGCGCGGTGGTATCTCCGCGTTGTCTGCTACCTCACACCCTCGTCTTGCGTCCCACGTGGATGCCGGTCGAAGGGGTCGCGCGGAATGAGGGTGACGCGCGGGGCCGTGGCGGCGCGGCGCGGCGCGGCGTGGCGTGGCGCGGCGCGGCGCGGCTCGGGTGACGAGGGGAGACACGGGGGGAGGAGGACGGAATGACGACGCGGCGCGGCGAGGCGAAGCGAGGCGAGGCGGGACGCGCGGGGAGAGACGGCCGAGGGCAACGGCGGCGATGAGGGAGCGCGAAGGGGTAAGGGGCCGGGGAAGGGAGGTAGGTTGCTTCGGTATGGGTTGGGTCGGGTGGTCAGAGGGGGCGGAAGTGGGCGAAAGGGTCGAGGGATACCGCCGTTGCCGTCGCCGCCACCCACTGACCATCTCTCTACCCTCGTCGTCGTCGTCGTCGTCCCAGGCTTCTCTACTACGCGCCTGCAAAAAAGAGTCCTTCCCGTATAGCGCTTCCCAAGACGCGGCGAAATCCGCGAGGAGCGAGAGATGTGACGCGAGAAATATCCGCGTTCGATGCCTCTATTCCGCGAAATTTTCCCGCGAGATTATTCTTCGGCAATTTGTCGGAGATAAAAAGTTGAAGAGCCGAGAGAGATAGATAGATAGGGAGAAAGAGGCATGAGCGACGGCGGGATATCGTGGGAGGGTGGGAGGGGGCTGGAGGGGTGGAGGGAAAGTGGGCGACGGGAGGAAACTGTTTAAACGCGATCACTGGGACACGCGTTGTGACGCGCAACGTTCCTCGCAACGTATTTTTCCTCCTCGTCTGTTTCTGTTACTATCTCGCTTTTCCCCACCTCTCCTTCCCTCTCTATCGCCCTACAAAGTACCGAAGAGAGAACGAGAGTGCGGCGTTCACGTTGTACGGTGCAATAAATTCTACTCGTAGATTATAATACAGTGGCGTAGGTCATGGACCGAGGACGATACGCACGCCACGCCACGTGCTCCCCACGTTTGCTTGTATACATTCTATCTCGCTCCGTTTCACAGCCCTACCGCTCACGTCGACGATTACTGAATGTGTTCACGTATTTACTCTTTGGTATTATTATTATTATTACTTCTCTCTGTCGACTGACACGAGGCACATGCCGGGCGCGCCAGCGCACGATTATCCTTCATCGGTGAAAGAGGATCCCTTTATATGCGACAGTTGCAACAATCTATATGACACGAACGATAATTTTACAGTTTGCTATTGTACCAACGTTACGCGATATGTTAGGTCCTGCGCACAATAGAGCACATATTAGAAATAAGAATAAATATACTAAATATTATAATATGTAATAATATAGGAATATTCTTGTAATAAATATTAAATATTAGGATATGTAAATGTAGGAATATTCCTATACTTATATCTTATATTTTTTTTTCTATTGTGCGTTTATTATGTTTAATTATTATTTCTAATTCCGATTTTTAATATTCAATATATTTAGTCTTATTCCTAATATGTACATACTCTATTGTGCGCAGGGTCCTTTTATGCTCCTTTAAAATTACATTTCTAAAGTTATCCTCGAAGGATACTGTTGTTTGAATTACTGGCAGTATTTGCCGCAAGAGGGTAACAGCTTACGGCTTGCTACTCAATCTGCACAAACTTTCGTGTTGGTGACGTCGGTCTTCAACGTTATCTCTAATTTTATTGATAATTATCGGAGGACTATCAATGGACCGAATTTTTACCAAACGTATATGAAATAGGGGTAGAATTTCCCGGGGGGTGCTATAGGGTGTATAGTTTTTCGTTACCGATCTTTTGGAAAGCGGTTTTTCTAATTTCTTCAATTTTTCGGTAAATAATTGACGGAATTTCAAAGAATTGTATATAAAACAGGGGTTGAATTTTCTGGGGAGTGCCATAAAGTGTATAATTTTTTGTTATCGATCTTTTTGGAAGCCGGTACTAAAATTTTTGAAATTAAAAATCATTTGACCGAATTTTTATTAAATTTCATATACTTTTAATATCGATTTTTTTGGAAACCGGTATCAGAAGTTTTTCGAATTAAAAACCATTTGACCGAATTTTTCTTAAAAGTATATGAAATAGGGGTAGAATTTCCCGGGGAGTATAATAAAGTGTATAATTTTTTGTTACCGAGATCATAGCAAATAAAAAAAAGGCTACAAACTGTTTTTTTTTTTATTATAATAGTGCATATGGAGAGAGGAAGAGAGAGAGAGAGAGAGAGAGAGAGAAAGAAAAATCAAATGTTATCGTGTCATAAAATATATATATACTTATTTGAGTAGTAGTAACATTTGAGTGAAACATTTAAGTAGTAATAAATTCTAAAATTTGAGTAGTAATAAATCCTATATCATGAGCTAATCATCCAAGTCTCAGGTAGCAGGCTAATGTTATTTGTCATCATTTCGACTACCTGGAGTCTGGCACACAAACTTCCGTAAGTTTGCCGATCTTTAACGGTATCTTATCGGTGTTTATATATACAAAACCGTAGTAACTCTTTTCACCTGCATTTTCTAGATTTTTATTAAATCGAGAAAACTGTTAAGGGCGCTTTTAAAAAGTCATCGTTGTGAGATCTTAGAATCTTAAGAACAAATTTGTCGAACGACGCGATCGGGTGAGAATCCCATTTTATCATTAACGATCCGCGGTCCTTCTTTCAGCCGGAACACCTGCGCTCGCCGACGTGGGTGCTGAACTATCAGAAGGGCAATAGTTTCGAGTGCGCGACGCTTTTGGCGAGCTTGCTGCTGGGGCAGAGTTATAACGCGTTCGTGGTGAGCGGATATGCGTCACGCGAACAAGTACTATGCGACATGACCAGAAGAACCTGCCCGTACTTGCCGGAGCCGGAGCGAACACCGCCATCGGCCGACAAGCCGAGAATCGACAGGTATCGATTAAAGGCACCGCCGGACTTCAGGAGTCGATTCCTCTTAGAGTTGGAAGATCGCGAGAGAGCGAAGACGGAGGCGGAGTTGCAACGACAAGAAGAAGAGCGACAGAGGATGATCGCTGTACGTGTATAAAAGGATACCGTTTTATCTTTGATATGTTAATTAAGAAATTTTTAATTTAGTTGCTCAATGTGGATCTAATATAAATATGGCTGCATTCGGGGAGCGCGCTATTAGCGCTATTTGCTTATTCTATCCTTGTTTTAGATTTAATGAGCGATAAAGATAGAATGATACAATAGCGCTAATAGCACGCTCTCCGAATGCAGCCTATATCTTATTAGTTTCTCAATGGATCTAATCTAATATAAATATATCTTATTATTCAATGCAATAACGCATAATCAGGATTTAAAGGGTTCTTTTTCATACTGAAGATAAATTAAGATTAAACATGTAAAGATTTCTTCCCCCTTCATAGAGCTTGCTACCGATTATGATTGTGTTTAATTATTAGACATGTTAGATTTTTAGATCATTATTTATGATTTTAGATCACACAGATCACACGCTAGATTAGACAATTAGACGATTAGATAGATACTTCTTAATTATACGATTTGATATGTCACTCCGCATCGTGATTGTTCATTCAATCTTATAATCCTAGGAATTCGAGCGTCCAAAGCCAGATAAGTATTTCGGTCATCGAATACACGCGTGGGTGGTCATCTTACCGGAAGATAAAGGCATAAGAAACCGAGAAATCACCGAACCGATTTTTGCCGAGCCTTCCTCCGGAACGTCTTACAACCCGACCGATGAGGAGACCAATTTGTTATATCTGGGGGTCGAAAGTATTTGGAACGACCAAAACTATTGGGTGAATATGCAGCCTCGCGAGAAGGGCTGCGCGGAAATCAACTGGGACTTGAGTAAAGTCGAGCTCTGGGAGCACTTGCTTCCCGGTGAACCGCGAATCGCGCGAAAAGACACGGACGAAACCGAGGAAGACGTAGGCGTGAAACAAGACAAGCATCTGGACATGCCGGCCTCGTACGTGAATGAAATCCGAATTTACAGTTCAGGTACATAAAGAATTACTATAGCATTAAAGCTTATATACAAATAACTCAAGACTCACCGACACTGATGCGCAACAGCGGAGCTGAAACTGCATTAATCTGTAACAAATAGATACAGCCAAATTAAAACAGCGCCCAAAATATCTCACATTTCAAAAGATAATTATTGCGTATGTTCAATTCTTTAATCTAAATATCTTTTAAACAGATTTAACAAAAAAGTTAAACAATATTTCCAAGAATCGTCCTTATTTAGGCCATGAACCATTAGAAAATTTGATAAATGTCGAAAGAAATAATTTTTATGCACAAATATAATCTAAGGATAGGCTTTAAAATTGTTATAGGTACATATATAAATATATTATAATGTTATGAATATTTCATATTAAATATTTTAAATTCTCGAAATAGTCAAATGTGTATTTAATATCACTACAAACATTACTTTAGGCCTGTTCGTTTTAGCTGAACTTCTTGCACGGTTCATCTTTTCCCTTTTTCTCTCCAACCCAGGTAGCAGAATGACGTCTAAAGACATCTTAATGACATATTATTGATGTTACAGACGCCATTAAGACGTTATAAATACGTTATTTGACATCACTCTGCTACCTGAGAACGTGAAAACCCAAGTAGCAAAGATGTCATTAACGCTGCGTCATAGACGTCATTAAGGCTGCATTCAGATATTCACTGTCAGTACTGCAAATCTATATTTTATATCACGTATACTATAGATTTTCAGCACTGAAAGTTGCTGACAGTGAATATCGGAATGCAGCCTAAGACGTTATTAAGACGTCATTTGACGTCACTTTGCTACCTGGGAAGAAAGAGGAATGATAAACCGTGCAAGAAATTCAGCTAAAACGAACAGGCCTATTGCGTCGCGGTGATAAACCGCGACGAATATTCCGTAAGTAAGAAGTCGGTAATAAATAAGTTACCCATGGTTGTTCCGCCGGCGCCTGAACCCCCCTGGACCCTGGACCGTTACTTCCTCCCAGATCTCGTCATATTGCTCCTTGACACTCACACAAGAGTCTCACATCACTAATCACCCGCATACTAATCACCGGAGCACTGGAGCACGATATTTGGCACGACACTCCCGATGACGATCGCGCGCGACGCCCCCGATCGTGACTTCATCACGTCGGGACGGAAGAACAACGCGAGAGATGATATAACTACAAATCGGTGAAACCCGATGCGACTCCTTCGCGGCGCTCCATTCTGAGATCCACAAATCGCGAAGACACTCGCTATTAATCGTCACTCGTTACGCCAGTAGCTAAAACGCATCGCGCGGCACTCGGTGCGGGGCACTCCCGACGACGATCACTCCGCGACGCGACGAATACCTCGAGAGATTCTGTTCCGATCTTACGAAGTTACGTGAGTTGGAAGCAACGAACGCGAGAGACGCGGAGCAAGATGGCGGACGGGATTCGTAAAAGCCGCGGCCAACTTCACACGTCGAGAGCAGCTACCAGCAGCTATACTTGTTGTAACGATGCTACACCTGTTGCACCCATCTGCACTTTTTCGTCCATTCTCCGCGCGCCTATATAATACACGCGTAATATATTGTCGCGTTTGATATTATCACATCGTACTGCAAAATCAATGATTATATAATCTGATATGAAAAATAGATAGGTCGTTGTCTTGTTGACACTGTTCTCACGACGAACTCCGATCGCGCGAGCCTCATGGAGCCTCGCGAGATCCACGCTCCGAAAAATAACGACGTTCAAACGTCGAATATATACATTCTGAGATCGACAAACGTTAGAGAACCGAGTTAACTGCAGCCGTGTGTGTGGTACTTACTAATCACACGCGTCGCGACGCCGCTCGACTCGCGGTCAATCTCCGTTTCGTTCCCGCGATTTTCCACAACAGAAAAAGTAAAACGGTAACTTCACTGCGACATCACGCGACACAACGCGAGTTGTTGAACAATTGACTTGAGACGCGACTGACCGTTCGGAGAATGCACGTCGCACGATCGATTCGAAACGTATTGTTCATAATTGTTCGACGCGCAATACGAACGTATGAATGGAAATAATGTCGTTAATAAATTGTCGATATATCCTTAGCCTTTCCTCAGACGCTCCGGCGAGTCGCGTATTACTTACGTTCTCGGCGAGCGTCCAATACCACAATCGTTCACCGAGCCCTAAGTAGCGATCAAGCGTGATTGGTTCTCACTTTTAGATCCAACCAATCGCACACTTCTGTCTGAAATAAGCGCCATATTTAACCCGCGCGAAAATTCAAAGCGCGATGGAAGAATATCCGGGAACGTTAAGGCCGTCGCGCACAAAATGCATAGCTTAACATAAGCGTAGCGTAAGACCGCTAAACCAATGAGCATCCAGCATAAAGTCGCCATATTAATTTACATAAGATGCTCATTGGTCCAGCGGTCTTATGCCACGCTTATGCAACCTATGCAATTTTGTGTGCGATGGCCTTTAGCGTTATCAAGGAAATAATTACTGTCTAAAATATCGCGTTGAAACGATAAATTATAATTCCCGTGCGTTCCCGTCTCGATTCCTACTTTAAGTCGATCTTTATAGATTTATAAATTAATACTTCAATTGAGAGCGAGGTGTCTAAAATATTTGAGACAAGTATCTGCGTAATCATCGTGACATTTCGTAACACTTGCAAATTTGATACGCGACATTATATGCGATAATAGTTAATCATACGTAGGGAATAATCGCGTAGTTTGTCGCTAGCATTCGTCACAACCACGTTTTTTAGACCGATAAAACCTTTATTAAGAAAGAGGATTAAGTAAATTATGTCTAACGATTATAAAATGTTATTAGATACATATATATAGACAGCAAATTCAAATTAAGATTGAAATAGTGATATCTCCATTTCCATTATCTTCTTAATAAAGGTTTTATATTGGTTAATCATTCTATTAAAAAAGCTTATTAAATCAAATGTATATTTAAGAAATAAAATTTATTGTAATATTATTAGGTATAAAATAATATATATCTTTTTCCATATTTTTACGTCTTTAAAAGAATGAAATTATACGTGTAATCAAGAAAATGAAATTAAAATCAGTGAATACAGTAGTAATGGTTCTCTGGAATAATCTGTTACATATTTATCTATACCTACCCAATATTTCGCTTTTTCAGATTTTGAAAGACGATATCCACGGGGCGGTAAAACGATACTTTACAAAAAGGCCAAGGTAGAATTATACGCGCCGTACGTTCGAGCTGACGGTTTAACTCAAAGAGTAACCGTCTACGAAGATTACGAATATACTACTCCTGTCCAAAGTTACGAGAAGTATTCCAACAGAGGTGACTGTCTTACGGAATCCAGGAAAGACTTCGTCGCCGATACCGTCACGGATTTCTTTGAGAAAGGTCGACCGGACCACTGCAAAGGTATACAATTCGGAATAAAAGAAATGTTGGAACGCGAGCTCCGTGTATCGTTCTTTTAATGGTAAACAAATATTTCAGCGCATCGTTATTCTGCGTCCAATGGCGATTTGATAAACGGTGAAAGAACAATAGATTTCTACGATAGCGCGCAGTTCGATGGACTGTCGCGCATCGAGATAGGCCCGCTATATCTGACTCAGCATTACGTGGACCGTGAGGATCTTCTGTATTACAGGTGAATCGATATTCCCTAATTTTAATTATTGTCGTGTTAGTTCTATTTCGAACGAATAGAAAGATTTCGAACGAAAATCAGATTTGTCATGTCTTGCACATTCTTCCTGCACGTACAAATTTTTCTCGCATAAAAATGTCATGCTATGAATACGTAATATTGTATTATTTTAATACTCTTAATTGTATTATTTTCACAGACACGCCGAATTTTCGGTGGACCAGGACAATACGGTGACGGACGGTGGTGTCCGTTCTCGACGCATTTCGGTAACGTTCCTCGTAAAAGTCGATTAAATTTACAGTATACATGAGATAATTAATTGACTCTTTTTGCATCTCGCAGAAAATCATTGAAAAGTATCATAGGAACGAAAAAATTCTGGCTTGCAAGGACGTCGCTATTCGTGAATTCACAATGATCGAAAATGAAATCTGCATTAAATTTCATTACGATCGAGACCGGAGTACTCGAGCTACTCGTACATTTATAAAACCGTCGATGGCGGACAGGGGGGATCGTTTAGTCTTCGATCCTACGATGACCCACGGATATAACGTAAATTTTCGTTATAGCAAAAATATTGGCAAGGAGAAGATGACGATGTAATCTGAAATCTTTACTTCAGCCAGATCCGACTGCGCCGCCGGAGAAAAATCTCGACCTCTTTTATGCGCTTGATAAGCATCTAAAGGACGAAGACCACTCTGTACTTCACATCAGAGATGCCGAAGCCGATATCGTAGCGTTCCTGCGAAGAAGAGCCGATGAAAATTTAAATCCGCAGTTCACAATTTCATTATTCGACGGAAATCGAACAGCCGAGACAGCAGCCGAATTGGATACGGTATTTATCAGCGATCTAATTGAAATTTCTTTTATTAATCAACTGCACAATCCGCTTTCAGAAAGCAATAAGGCAACCGAGTAAACGCGAAGTTGTGCAAGAGATAAACGAACTGGGGCCATATCTCGCGCGAATAGGCAACCCGGCGTACATCAGTAAAACGGAAGCATATCTGCTGCGCGACGACTGTTTGAGCGACTTCAAGCAAATGTCCATTGACAAAGCAAATCGTATTTTACGTATGATCGAAAAACAGGCTGCGGAACTAGAAAGGATGCAAGCCCTTCTAACGCAGGTTCGTTGGAAGCTTTGTTCTGTACGTTGGTTCACACCGAACAATCTTTTCTACGTAATATCAATATATTTCGATATAATTATTGTAAATATTTACGTGCAGACTGTAGATTTATCGAAAGCGGAGGAGGAACAGATGCTAGCCAAGATAAACGAGATAAGCTTCAATATGCACGTGTTGGAAACGTATCTCAATCGGCACAGAGATGTGGTGCCGCAGAGATACAGGATACTGGTAGATCGTTTACGGCAAAATCCGCATCTCCAAGTGCTTCAGAAATATTGAAAAATCATATTTAAAAATGTATACATATGTATAAGTATATTACCTCGCGCGCGTAAAAAGGAACTTCTAAGTATTTTAAAAAATTATACTCATTTTGTATCATCAGAGAGTATATTGGCATCACAAAATGTACAATCACAATGTATTTATCGAAAGGACCACGACCCCATTTGACCAATGCATCGACCTAAAATGATTTAAAAAAATAAATCGCGAATAATATAATAATAAATAAATCGTGAATAATAAATAAATATATGACGATCTTGTAACATTGTTTCATTACCTTCATCGTCAAAAGTGGCCAGCGTGAATTTGCTAAGTTTATTTGTGAAGCTTCCACTAGGGAAAACTAGCGGATGATCCAACTGATCGTTGCTGCTATCGCTGTTAATAAATTGACGGCGATAGTCCTCCGCAAAGCCGGATATTAAAGTGTCCATCATTGGCGCCTGAAACAGCGATTTTTATTGTACAATATTTCGTATTTATAAAGGTAATTACGTGTAAATACGTGTATTAATTATATTATTAATAATATACGTGTTAGGTAAATAATTTTCAAAATGATTTACTTACTTGTCTTGAGAATACTTGCAGAATCTTGTAGACACGCGCTCCGTTCTCTCGTACCGGAAATTGCACGAACAAGCAAGGTAGACAATCCGGATTATTCTCATCCGAGGGTTTCGCCATTTCCCAGCTTAATTCCGAGTATTTTAGCCCTAATAGCAAGCTCTACATAAATATATTTCAAATGTTACTATACTATATATTCTATAAATATATCTTATACAAAGTTTCGTTCGAAATTATCGCATTTAAATGAGAATTTCAGCTTGATAAACACCGCACTTACGCATTGCATGTCATCCACTATGTACACCCCCGACGTATTGATCGCGATGAGGACCTGCATATCGCGATTAGTGATCCAGGATGCGAGTCCCCTAACGGGTCGTTCGATTTGCCCTTGAAAGAAGGCCGCGCCGTAGCACGGTAAGTTCCAACAGAACTCGAGATACTTTCTGATCAATTTCTTGGGATTTGCGTTGGCGCTACCATTGTGACTGGGTATTCGCTTGTATTGCTCCAGAAGGTGCGCCTCGGGTGCTCCCTTGCCACCCACCAGTCCCAATCCGAGTCCCAATCCTAATAGAAGACTGGGAGAAGCGTAATAATGCGGTAAAAATCGGCCGCGATGTCTGTGGAAAAACGCCAGGGTGTGGGTTTGCGCGTTATAAGGCCCAAGCTCGATTCGGGCCTGTAACGCTCCTAAACTAGCGTAACGTGCAGGACCATCACACGCGTACCGTCCTGGACAAAAAGACGAATTTATATTATAAATAAAATTATATAATTTTTATAGAAAGGATCTTATTTCTTTCATTCTCCGTACCTTGCAGAACATTGTACTTGGCTTCTGCATAGAGCAGTTCAAGGACCTTGGTATCCTTGATCTGTTCTTCCTCCGACTTGGTGAGAAATATATTTCTACGAAAATATAACAAAGGTTCCTCGTCGTCGGGGTCTTCTATATGACAGGTATACTTGGTTACAAGATAATTCCATTTCGCAGCCAATTCCACGGGCTTGTGTGTTGGACGTAATTGAACTTCCAGCTGCGAAGAACACATCCACAGTGCAAAAATTGGCGTGGTGGTTGCCAAGGAGAATCTCGATAGACCCAGCTCCGCTTCCGACTGCACTATCGTGAAAATCTGCTGTGCAGTTGCGTTTTGTTCAACTTCCATTGTTAAGAACACTCCCGTCATTAAATAAACGGCAATGCGTACAGTGGGCCTTCCCGTATTCGAATACTGCGGTTGATTCGTCATTGTTTTACTTACTGTAAACGAAGAAAATAAGGAAAAGATAATAAATATTGAAAAATATCAATTCTTGTAGTCGCAGAACAATTTCTAAACACATACAGGTAGACGAATGTCCTTCCGCTTTGTAGTCATTTGGATAGCGACGCAATGGTTGCCCTCTCTGAATCGTGCAATCATTTTGTTGATCCATTTCCTTCAATTTTTCGTTTAATTTTCATCAATTGATTATAAAACCTATTAAAACAGCAATAAAAAAATAAATTGAAATTACACGTACACACATTGTGTGACCTGTAGCCGTTACTTTATTCACTCGTATCGTTTATATTATATTTACCTTTTTGACTTAAAATATTTTAATCAATACATATTATTTAAAATTACACGTTCATAACACACTTCTGTTATTATCATAAAAATAAACGATTATTCTTATCACTAGTTCATTATTGCATCTTAGATATTTCGCCCACATTTTCAATCCGGTAAACTATATTCACTTGTGTCTGTAAAATTACGCATTGTCAACATGAAGCTTTTAGTTTCTCTATTTTGGCTTTATTTCAACGCGTGTTACTGTGCTACGCCGCGCTGCCATCTGAACTCTGGAGCAGCTACAGCAGTTATTGATTATTTGTACGTATATACATATGTATGTAGAATGTATGCATTATCTTGTGTGTGTGTTTGTGTGTGTGATACTGCTAATTTCTATATTAAAACTCGCATTTACATAGAAAAAAAAAAGATTAATTAAAGTCATAAAATACTTTATTAACAAAAGTTACTCATCGCTTCTCATAGTATTGTACACAAGTAATATCTTTGTAGTCCATGTACAAAAAAAGAAATTTATTCCATTCTCATTAAAAAAAAAAAAATTGCATTATCAATGATGCATCCTAATAGATGTAGAAACAAGTATTAGTCCAGTTTTCTTACATATTACATTCAAACAGCTTTATCACTTACATGATTCAAAAGTGATGGAATACTCTGTTTATTATATTATTCTTACAAGAATAGTCTAAATTATATGCTAAAAAATAACTTACGGGTAATACGACATTAAAGGATTTTCAAGTAAACTGGTTTTGGAAACTGTTGGTATGTAATATTATTGGTATTATCATACTGTCTCCTGCATATTGACAAGTAATCGAAGTTAAAGAAATCTTTGTACGTGAAACATTTAATCTACGCATAAATCTCGCTCTTTATATCAGATCAGCCACATTCATCGGCATTTCGTCTATTTGCGTAGAATAATATTGCTCGATATCTCGGAGAATTCTTATATCGTCAGTTTTCACGAAGTTTATCGACACACCCTTACGGCCGAAACGTCCCGATCGACCTATTCTATGGATATACAATTCACGATTGTTAGGCAAATCGTAATTAATTACGAGCGACACCTGCTGAACGTCGATTCCTCTCGCCCATACATCCGTTGTGATTAACACGCGACTGTAAAAGAAGAAATTGTATTAATATAAATTCTTGTAAAAAATACGTTGTTGTAAATATGTTGTTTTAAGATTTTATCTTACCTCTGGCCAGATCGAAACTCTTTCATTATGTTGTCTCGTTCTTTCTGTGGCATATCTCCGTGCATAGAACATACTGTAAAATTGGCTTCTCGCATTTTTTCCGTCAACCAGTCTACTTTACGTTTAGTATTACAAAATATAACCGCTTGCGTTATCGTTAACGTGTCATATAAATCACAGAGTGTGTCAAATTTCCACTCTTCTCGTTCTACAGCGACGAAGAATTGCTTGATTCCTTCCAATGTCAATTCATCACTGGAATCAGAAATAATTAGAGCAACATATACATATACGTGGTTTAGTAGTGACAATTAAAGGTAAATTATTTACCGTTTGACGAGGATACGGATGGGGTCCGTCATAAATTTACTAGTCATCTCGAGAATTTCGTGCGGCAAAGTGGCCGAAACTAAAACAACTTGCGTCGCTGGTGGTAGATATCGATACACATCATAAATTTGTTCCTTGAAACCTTTGTTCAACATCTCGTCAGATTCGTCCAATACCAGCATTTTAATAGCCCTAGTCCTGAGTACTCGCCTCTTAATCATATCTGGATGTTTCACAATTTTATATAAATGTTAGTATGTTTATGTACACGTTTATGTTTATGTATAAAAATTATGATACCTACCAAATACTCTACCAGGTGTGCCAGACACTACATGCTGACCGTAATCAAGCTTTCTGATATCTTCTCCAAGATTTGTACCACCAATGCAAGCATGACATTGTACATTCATGAAGTCTCCCAATGCGAGAATAACCTTCTGGATTTGAGTGGCAAGTTCTCGAGTCGGAGACAAAACCAGAACTTGAGTTTCTCGTACTTGCGTGTCCAACGACTGCAATATCGCAATCGAGAAGGTAGCAGTTTTTCCCGTACCAGATTGTGCCTGAGCTATCACATCTCTGCCCTTCATGATAGGTTTAATAGATCGTTGCTGTATGGCTGACGGTTTCTCAAAACCTACATAGAAATAGAAACAGAATGTATCTCACTTTTCACATATTTAGAAACATTCAAGTTGAGACTTTGATCGTGATAACGAAGCTACAAAGAAAAAAAAGATGAAAATAAGAAAAAAATCTGATAAATATAAGTATAAACGTAACTTGGGAAAGAATAATAAAGAGAGATTGTGGAAGAGGTTCTGGAGCAACGAGTTAGACACCACCAAGAGAAATGTATTGAAGAAAGTATATAGAGAGAGGTTGGTGAAGGAGGTAGAGAAGAGGAAGGATAGACTGAAGATTAAAATAAAAAGATAGGCCGATAATTACAACATAGGAATGTCAAGTATGGCGCAAGTAAATGGTTAAAAAAACATTGTCAACCAAGTCTACTTCTTGGCTATGTAATTGGAGTTAATAAATTATTATTATATAAGTATAAATATATGAAAACAAATCAGAATAAGTTGTTAACGACTGCGACGAAAAATTGCCATAATCAATGTCTTCGCGGAAAGAAAATGCGCGTTGCGTCAATTATACGTGCGAAATGATCTGTTTACTTTGTAAACCGATCCTCTGACCTACGATTCAATCTAAAAAAATATATAAGCCGCGCAAAAAGTGAGGTTAGCTCGTAACGAGGAGCGGTGAACGACATACCGTAAGCATAGATTCCACGCAACAATTCGTCGCGGAGACCCATGTTGTCGAAGGTAGGAATAACCTCGACATCTTCGCTGGTTTCAAACTCGACGTTTGATAAATCTTCGGTTTGCGCCACACGACGTGATTTCTCCGCCATTTCGTCCAAAGCGTTGCGACGTGACGCGAGCGCGAGATGCGACGTAAATGACGTAAATCCACGATTCTCCGTGCGGGCGCTCGGCGTCGTGGCGCTAGCGCATGAAGTTAGGCACGCTAGGGAATTAACGCGTCCGCTACTCCGCTTTCCGGAACTAGGTAGACACATAAATGAAAAGAGATTGGTCCTCGAATTTTAATTATTAATTAATCTATTTTCGTCTCCAGCGCAGATATTTATCAGACAAAAAATCCTACGCTTTTTTACTGCACAACTTAATATTAATAACATGTCATTTATCTTCAATTTTAATTTATGTTGTATTATTTTCCATAATTATCTATCACACGATTCACACGTCTGGAGTAGTCTGGACACGTCTGATAATGGGAGGAGGGAGAACGTGGTAGGGGTCCCGGGCCGCGACAATCGTGGTGTTTCAAACTTTCTCTTTTAATTACACCGAAGATTACGCGTATCGAGTAATTGCGAACGTTCGTATTATATACGATCTAGAAGATCCCTTTTTAACTGCATTGCTCAGCTATTTTGTATCAAGTAAGTATGTGAGAAATTCTCATCGAGCGCACGCTCGTCGGGATTGTAGGTTATATTGTGTTTACAATGATTTGTCTTTGCAACTCGTATGTATGTACGTTGGTGCTGAGATACTTATTACGATAACTCATAAGATACTCTCCTTTCGTTCGTACTGCAACTGCGATTCTACCTAAGCATTGGTCAAAGTTTGCCCAACGAACTTCACACTCACTTGTAAATACTGACTGTACTTCTGGCAGAATGGAGTCCAGGACTGAATTTAAGATAAAGTCACCGCCGACCGACGCAATTTCTGCGGTCGAATTTGGACCAAACTCCACACAGTTCCTATTAGTGTCGTCGTGGGACAGTACAGTAAGACTGTACGACATACACGCTAACACGATGAGGCTAAAGTACAATCACGACTTACCAGTATTGGACGTCGCGTTTCAGGTAACTAATTTCTTTCATTTTGCTCAATTGTACAATTTAAAGACACTTTAGATCATGTTTTATATATATAAATCGTTTTAGCTTTACTTGTATTTGTTTCTGTCACAAAGAAGTTAATATTGAAATTTGTTCTCTAAGTCTCTAATGTCTTTAATAGGATGACAGAAGCAAATCTGAATCTTTCACCTGCTCTATTATTGCGTTACCTAACACTTTCAAAAGTTTTCGATTATTTTTCTGACAATTCTCTGATAATTTTCTTTATCACAAAATTATTTGCAGGATGCAGTTCACGCGTATAGCGGTGGTCTAGGAAATACTCTGAAAATGTATGACATAAATAGCAATACTGGTACTATTATCTTTTTTAATTTTGTTATTTTACTTTGTTAATGTTTTTATCACATAGTATATATTGAAAATATTGTCTGTAGAATCAATAATGGGCACACATGAGAAACCGATCAGAAAAATAGAGTATTGCGCAGCCGTAAATGCGATACTAACTGGCGGTTGGGACGCCGCGGTAAAACTATGGGATCCACGAACACCTACCTGCGTCGGTAGTTATCTGCAACCTGACGTAGTCCTTGCTTTGTCTGTATGCGGCGACAAATTCGTCGTGGGCACGGCAAAACGAAAAGTTTGCATTTGGGATTTGAGAAACATGGCGGGCATGTTTCAGAGACGAGAAAGTAGTTTAAAGTACCAAACGCGCTGCATCAAAGGTTTCCCTAATGAACAGGTGCGTTTATCTTTCATAAATTTTTCACAATTTATCACACCGTTCAGTTGATATTATTTACATTGAGCATATGTTCGCATTCTTTATATTCTTTTACTTTTGTATTTAGGGATACGTATTAAGTAGCATAGAGGGTCGAGTCGCCGTCGAGTATCTCGACACAATGCCGGAAGCCCAGAAGAAAAAGTACGCGTTCAAATGCCACAGAATAAAGGAAAATAATGTCGAGCATATTTATCCGGTGAACGCTATTAGCTTCCATTCTGCGTACAACACGTTCGCCACCGGTGGCTCGGATGGTTACGTGAATATCTGGGATGGTTTTAATAAGAAACGACTGTGCCAATTTCACCGATACAACGCTGGAGTGGCCGCGCTTAGTTTTAGCCATGACGGTTCCGTTCTCGCGATAGGTGTTTCATATTTAAACGAAGCCGAGATTCCGCCGGGCGGCAGTGACGAGCGAGAAATTTATATAAGATACGTCAACGATCAGGAGACCAAGCCGAAGTAAACAGCAAATTTATACAAAATGCAGATACAGTGACAAAAATGTGTGATTAAAAAAAACTCATGGATTTCCATGCATTAAGATAGAAGAACGAATGGTTAGTAAAAACGCATTCTGTGAATAATTGTAAATATTCTGTGCTAATTTATATGCATTTCATGGAAATAACATGTGTCGACTCGCAATAGATTCAATAAATTGTACGTTTTATAAAAATATTCTCGTCCGATTTTCAGGAAATAAATCTGATTTGTACCTGTAAAGATTTTTACATTTTTATATTCTCATCTCAATACGATATCATGATACTTTTTTTCTAATACATAACATATTAACATTATTTGATGACTGTTCTCTTCTATTTTATTAGATAAATGACTTGATTATATTTATATCGTACAATCATGACATTTACTTCAAAATAATTATATAATTTATGCATAGATTACATATCAAATATTTAATTTTACAAAATCTAGATTTCTACATTATACTATACTGCGTGTGATCTGAAAAAATAAAAACTTTTCTACTTTTAATAAGATTGTAGAGATAAAAATATATAATTAGGCTGAAATAAGAATCCGTATACACTGTATAAAATTTGTATATTTACTAAATGACTTTATATATAACCAATACAAATGATCGCAAACAAGCTACAAAATTTTTAAGAATAAATAATTTTTTTATACAATGTAGTATGTTGTAATTTACATTACTTCTGGGGATTTTAAAAAACCGATCGTTAGAAAACGAATATGAATTATGAAAGAGAGATAGCGTTTATTAATAAGTCTGTTTAAGCGTAAAGTATTGCAAAATATAAAGAAGACAATGACTTTCTTTGCATCGGCCATAAAAAGATCTCTTTTTGACTGATACAAAACAATTCCCTTCTTTATTTTCTATTGCATTAATTTTACATTTCAACTGTCAACATAAAATGTGGCACAGCATTTGAGAGT